GGGCGCTGGAGCGGCCTTGGCCCGCGCGGCCGCGGGGGCCGCTCAGCTTCCAGTTGGAATGAGCCTGGGCATAGGTTAGGAAGTGCCCCCGGTGCAGGAATCGGCAAGAACACTCGACACACGGATGGCCTGTTTTGATCTGGTTCTATCGCGGCACTTAACTCTATCCCACGAGGCATGCGCTAGTCACAGGTTCGCATAGGAAGATTGTTCCAGGCCAGCTGAGATTCTTTTCCACCTTTTTCTTTTCACTAATGTTATTGGTAGTATGTCGTTTTCATTCAGAAAGTCTGTCGGTCATTGCTCAGGGTGAGATGTACATATGCTCGTGTCTGCTCATATGTGTAGAACCACCTAGAAACTTTATTTGGTATAACTTCGCATTTTCAGTATATAGAGATCATTTTATTGTGGGCTTGATCCAGCCATGTCCTGGAGCAGAACCAGAAGAGGAATGCCACCTACAGGAAGGAGCTGGGCCTAGCCAGTAGGTTCTTATGTCAGGGATCTGTTGCAATGATTGTGGCAAAATGAGCAATTAATCAAGGGATGGAGGTTGATTTGATAACTGCGTTAGCCACAGGAGTAACTTGTTATGCTTGGACCATTCCAACACAAGACAGACTTTAAGGTCTTCTTGTGTCTGAAGAGAAAAGGTCTCCTTGCTAAAAAGGAGAATAGAAGGAGCAGAAATTCGTAACATGCCAATGCAGTACATGTCCTTCTGGAAGTAACTTTCAATTCACTCTATGCTTCAAAACACGGAATCTCAGTGACCAAAGGAAATGGGCATATGTGAGCGCATCCAAATGTGCAAATGTTGTCATTCAGATTTCTAAAGCTGGTCATGTGTATTGTCAAAGACAGATTCAGAATTAGGTGTACATTTTAAATATTTCTTGAATATGAGGATTTTCATTAATTTTTAAAATGTGAATAATTTATATATCCCATTTCTTCCTGAGAGAGGCTGATCCATAGTCCTCTAGCTTTTGCTGGGCAGCCTACCCAGATTCTCAGTACCTCAGGCTGGATGGACCCCTTTGTGGTGGGTGGGGCCAGCTGGAGGCCATGTCCCTGAACTAACATTTCAGCCTTCAGAAAATGCAGAGGCTGACTGCTCCTTCTGTGTCTTCTAGCTGTCTTTCTTTAGCTGGGTACTCAGCTTCCCCAGACATTCCTCCTTGGGCAATTTTTAAAGCATCCCTCATTAACCCCCTTCAAGTTCAAGTTCAAGTCAGTCACAAGGAGCAGGTAGCCAAGACATTGGAAAGGCTTCCTCCCCCAACAGGGGAAGCTAGGGCATTCCAGAGGGTTTACTTTTAGAGACTGTGCCCACCCCCACAGGCACACCAGAGCACACAAGTACATGTATGGGTACTCACAGGCACACATACTACCCTGTCATTGTCCCCATAGTGGTTCCCTTCAGGAAGTCCAGCCCTGCGTAGACCAAAGGAGAAGAAATGTCATTTTCCTACAGTTTTCTGCTCACATTTGGATTGAGAAATAAGATGTTTCCAAGCACATGAATGTATACATAAGTGCACACATTAACAGAGATCTGATCTAAGCCTCCCTAAAGTTTTTTCTTAAAGAGGCAGTGCTTTGCCACCCTAGTAAAAGTGATCTGGGCTTTCAACATCAGATGGACAGGTTGAGCTTGGTGGACCTACCCGAGTCAAGGAATGTTCTAGATCCAACCTCATGTCAGTTCACAACTTTGATAGAGGCTTCTTGGTCAGAAGCCTTAGAAATTTTAGGTCAGTGAAACCCAACCAGATCCTTTTTCTAAATCCTCATAGAGAAAAGTGACAAAAACAGACACATGTGCTCACAGTTGGGGACACAGTGCTTTCCCTAAATCCTCATGCAAGCCTCCCACCACTTTCCACACTTACGTCATCATCTCCTTGTGATAAAAATGAGACACAGGCCACTTAGATGACAGCTTAGACTCAGCCCACTGAAACGTCTAACCTCTGGATCCCAACCCCTCCCTGGTCCACCCCAAAACCCACAGAAATGTTTCACACTCAGGCAAAGGACTGGGCCTATCGATTGAACAAATGTGATTTTATTCTTAAGTCATCGATCCTGCTTTATTACAAGCTGTTTTGTACAGATCTCAGAAAGAGAAAGGCTTACCACAGAATTTAAATGAGTTTGGTCTTCAAATGAAAAAACATAATGTTTACCAAATACCCACTTTTTACTTTACTGTAGTTGTATTGTTGAACGCAATCTGCAGCTACGATCAGAACTACCAGGCCCATAGATTTTTTAACCACGGGGGTAAACCTTAAAAGAAGTGAAACCTAACACGATATAGATTTCCATTTCTAAATACAGTATATTACAGAAGGTTAAATATACCACCTCTGTGTACTTACAACTATAAAAGATACATTAACTATACCAATTATAAATAATTGCATTTAGCATTTCATATTAAAGGCATTATTGTACAATGAAAGAGTAGGAACCCTCTAATGTAGTACTATCAAGGTTAGTGTCTATAGTTAGCTGAGTTAGCATACTGAAAATTCAGTGTATGAAGTCAAATTCTGGCTGAACAAGTTACTGGTAGTGTAAGCACTAAGAGTTAATTGATGGAGAGAGGAAGGTGAGTTGTGAGTTGCATATCTCTGACAAGGATGATAAAGCCATTTGATATGTGATTTTCTTTATACACACACTGGTTCTGACATAGAGCTCCATTTTAGTATTTGTCCTCTCCAACTTAATTATCATGAGCACCATTTTCCCAATTAGAAAAGTACTAGTCAGTAACAGAAGAAGTAATCAAATAACACAATTTAAGTGTGTTTTTGCTTTTAAAACTGTGTGGAAACACTTTCAATTTCCTAAGTTCAAACATGAAATTACACGTCATTTGGATACTCAAAGTAGAAAAGAAAATTTCACAACCTGTTTGTGAAATACTCCGGCCCCTTGGATGAAGACCCAGTTCCTCCAAGGGATCCAGGTGTTAACTTTTTAACTAGTCAGAAATTAAATATCAAAATAGGACTTAAAAAAACCAAGGCTGTATTATAACAGTAGTTTTCCCAGCTGTGTGTTTTACTCATTTGAAATGGATAACAGAACTAGAGAAAAGGAAAATGATGCAGTTTATCATAAACCATGAATGAATATGGTAGAAATGCATAATTTGTTAAAGTGAATTATGGCTGATTTGTCAAATATGGGAGTCAATTACCCCAGGATGCTACAGTGTTGTGGTGTTAGAAGACTGGATCCTTAGCAGCAAAGGTTATATCTGCAATGTTTTCTGCCTAAGAAAGTGCCTTGGTTAAGGTGGACCATGACATAGTTTTTGAGTGAGCTCTTTGAGTTTGGTCATATTCCAAAGGCAGTATTGGTTTGAAGCTGAATCCCTCAGTCAATGTCAATATGCAGACCTCGAAGACCCACACCTGTGCACACCCAAGGCTCGGGTACCCTTCCACAGTATGCACTTCCCAAAAGCTTCCCACTGTGTAATCCTTTTTAAAAAAACTTAGTGCTAATCTTTTCCCACGGAATGGTCCCACTTCTACCTCAGAAAGAGGAGGGGCTTATTCTGTGAGCAGGTAATCCTGAGGAGACACAGGTGCAGGGCTCTGCTTGCAGAACATGCAGAGAGCTCCCGTCCCCCAGTTGTCACCAGAGTCAGATTCAGCAAAGCATTTTTAAGCAACTGTTGGACACTTCAACTACCACCTCCTCTTAACAACGCCCTGAGTATCTTCACTGTCTCTGGACCTGGTCTAAAGGGTAAAACAGAAATGGCCAACAGCTCCCTCTCCAGGCAGGACTGCAATTTTGCACACAACATATGGGCATCCACAGTTTGGTCAATAACCATGAGCATGAGAAGAAAACAGAAATCATTCAACTCCAGTAGACTTAAAGCCTCCAGAAGAAAGTGCCCCGGGAAGGTCAGATATGTGGTTTTTTTCCTTCGGCAAGTTTGGTCTGCCACATTCAGCTGTCCAGCATCTGAGGAAGGAGCCCGCCTTTCCTTCAGGGATTCTTGTCACCGAGTTTGATGGTGACAGTTTTCACCTCTGTGTATTCGGCCAAAGCATATTCACCTCTGTGACACAGAAAAGAGGAAAATTCAAGAATGGGCACATCACTTAGTCAGTCTGTAGAAACTGTTCTAGTGCTTGATTGTTCTGTCATGCAGTTTAGGGTTTGGGCAAAAGGTCATGTGATGACTTGATAGAATAATAGCCAGGACTATATAACACCATTAGCAAGTTTCAGCAACTGGATATGTGACTGCAGTGTAAACATCAAGTTTTTTGTGTGTGATGCTTTTGGAATATTCAGAAGGAATATGGGTTTACCTTTGAGGAATGATGGAGATTTAGAAAAAATAAAGAGGAGCCGGGCTCGGTAGCTCAGCCTGTAATCCCGCGCCTTTGAGAGGCTGAGGTGAGTGGATTGCCTGAGCCCGCGGATTCGAGACCCACCTGGCAACTTGGCGAGACCTCATCTCTACAATAAATCAAAAAATCAGCCAGGCGTGGTAGTGCGCGCCTGTAGTTCCGGCTACTTGGAAGGCTGAGGCGGAAGGATTGCCGGAGCCCAGCAGGTCGAGGCTGCGGTGACCAGGAGCGGCCACTGTACTCCAGTCTGGGTAACAGAAAGAGACTCCAACTCAAAAAAAAAGGAAAAAATAAAGAGGTGGGCTCCTCGGGTTGGGAGAGATAGCAGGCCAGGAGGGGGCAGGATGAGTGAAGGGGGAGAAATTACAATGGGTTTATAACTTTTAGATCACAATTTGGAGTTGCTTAAAGAGACAGAAGAGGCAGAGACCCAAGGCTATTGACTGGGGACGTGGCCAGAGGACCACAGGGAGGGACACTGGGGGCCTGTAGTTGGGCCTCAGAGCACACAGCTAGGGACCAGCTGTCAGACAGTGAGGCCTGCCTGTAGGAGCAAGGGGAGCGGATGTTAGCATAGACTGGACACAGGGAGCCCACAGCCTTTGAGTTAGCATCCGTGGTCTATTTCCTTTCTTTAAGTCTTTCAGGGCCCAGGACCCTTCCCTGGCACCATGAGCTAATCTCAGGGCAGCTCCCCTTCCCAGAATCCCGTGGCAGCTTTGGATAGATTTATATCCCTCTACAGCACTTGATCTGCTGTTAGGAGAAGAATGTGTGCTTAAGAAAAGAGGTGGAAGCAGAGGTGGCCACTAGAGGCGCGGTAGCAAGGAAGACCAGAGACAGAATCCCATCTCCTCCCTGAGACCAGTAGTTCTCAAAATGTAATTCCCAGACCAGCAGCCTCAGCTACACCTCTGAACTTGCTAGAAATGCAGATGCTCATGCTATGCCCAGCCCTAATGTGGCTGCAGAATAAGGGCCTCCCCAAAGGAATTCACGTCCTAATCCCCTGAACCTGTGACTATGTTAGGTTATAAGGCAAATAATTAATGTTGCAAATAGAATTCAAGTCACTAATCAGTTGACCTTAAAAGAGGCATATCATCCTGGATCATCTGGGCAGGCCCAGTGCAATCACAAGGATCCTTAAAAGGGAGGAGGGCCGGGCTCGGCGGCTCAGCCTGTAACCCCGTGCCTTTGGGAGGCTGAGGTGAGTGGATTGCCTGAGCCCGTGGGTTTGAGACCCGCCTGGGCAGCGAGACCTCATCTCTACAATAAATCAAAAAATCAGCCGGGTGTGGTAGCGCATGCCTGTAATTCCGGCTACTCAGAAGGCTGAAGCGGAAGGATTGCCGGAGCCCAACAGGCGAGGCTGTGGTGGCTGGGAGCGGCCACTGCACTCCAGTCTGGGCGACAGAGTGAGACTCCAACTCAAAAAAAAAAACAAAAACACAGTGGAGGAGGAAGGCAGAAGACAGGCAGAGTGAAATGCAACTACAGAAGCAAGTCCAGAGAGATGCAACAGTGCTGGCTTTGAAGATGGAGAAAGGGGCCAGCAGTCAAGGAGTGTGAGCAGCTCTAGAAGCTGGAAAAGGCAAGGAAAGCTGCTCTCTCCTGAGGGCCTCCACGAAGGAATGCAGCCTCCTGGACACCTTGATTTTATCTCTGTGAGACCTGTGGCAGATCTTTATCCTACAGAACTGTGAAATACTAAATACACATTATTTAAGGCTCTAATGCTGTGGCAATTTGTTTTAGCAGTACAGTAAGCCCCCTACATACAAGCCTTCAAGTTACAAACTTTAATGATGCACACATGCTTTTTTATGTATTCTTTTCACCAGGTGTCAGCATATCCTGTTAAATACACACAGTAATATATAGTTGATTGTATATGTATCCTGTTAACTGCATACAGTACTATATAGCTTAGTTGGGAACCTAGGCTACTTTGTTGGACTTACAACAAATGGACTTATGAACATGCTCTCAGAACCAAAGTTGTTCATATGCTGGGGACTTCCTGTAATAGAAAATGAATAAACTTACTGAATCAGAAACACTAGGAGTGGGGCCCAGAAATCTGTGGTTTAACGAGTCCTCCAGGTGATTCTGATGCATGCTCAAGTGGGAGAACCAATGGCTTAGAACTATGTAGCTTAGATAAGTTCTTTGCCTTCCCTAAACCTCAATTCCATCATCTGTAAATTGGGAATCCCATCACCTCCTTATAACAATTAGACAGAATCATATAGAGCAGATGCAATGTGCTAGGTAAAAAGTGAATGGTAGGTGTCATTGAGATAGGTAATTTCCTAGAACAAATAGTTGAAGAACTCGTGATAATGCATGATTTTGTAATCGTTCCTAAACATAAAATATAAAGCCATAAACAAAATGCTAAATTCAACTTTTGTAGAGCAGATACTCCATTTAAAAATCCCCCAAAAGGCCAGGTGCTGTGGCTCAAGCCCATAATCCTAGCACTTAGGGAGGCTGAGGTGAGGGGATTGCTTGAGCCCACAGGTTTGAGAACAGCCTTGGCAACTTGGCGAGACCTCATCTCTACAATAAATTTAAAAATTAGTCGGGTGTGGTAGTGCACACTTGTAGTTCTGGCTACTTGAAAGGCTGAGACAGAAGGATTGCCTGAGCCCAGCGGGTCGATGCTGGGGTGGCCGTGAGCATGCCACTGCACTCCAGCCTTGGTGATGGAATGAGACTCCAACCAAAAAAAAAAAAAAAAAAAAAAGCCCAAAAGACAAATGACAAACTAGAAAAAAAAATTGACAACTCCATGTGACAGAATGCTGTTTTCCTTACTATACAAAGAACTCTTACAAATCAATTAGAACACAAATGACCAGAAGAAAAAAATCAACAAAGAACATGAATAGTCAGTTTGAAAAAAAAAGATAAATTATCAATAAGTGTGAAAAAGGTGCTCAACCCCCTCACAATGAAAGAAATACAAACTGAAACAGGTGGTGAACCCATTTCTCATGAGGCAGACTACTCCATTTTAGGAGTTTATTCTGAAAACAATCTCCCATAAGTGCAAACAGGTATATACACAAGGAAATACATCAACATTGTCTGTAACAGCAAAATCTCTCGGAAATACCACAAAAGACCATCAGTAAAAAGAACTGAAGGATGGCCAAAACCCATTCTCAAGAGCAAAAAGTAGCTTGCTCCCATTTCATTTGAAAACAGAAAAGAACACACCTTTATATCCATCATATGTACAGAAAATGCACAATGTGAGGATATAATGTTGTACTGTAAAAATCAAAGGTGTTAATTTCTCAAGTTCATAAAGCAAAGTACTAAGATCGAGTTGAATGAGCACATAAGGAATATGTACAACATTAAAATCATTTGTGTTAGAATAAATACACGGATCCTCTCTTTCCATGTCTGTAGTCACTGTCCTGTTTCAAGTTCTTGCTGCTCTCATTCAACACAATGTGGTGACTCCTAACTGGTTTCTCGCCCAATCTCATCCACCTTGGAGTTCAACACCATCCATGAGCCCAGCCTTTCTCCCATTAAATTTCACCAGAATGTCAGGGGGATGGGACTGGTGACTGTTGTCCACTGCCATATACTCAGAGCCTAGCGTCATGCCTGGGACATCAAAGCTGCTGAAGAAACATTTGCCAAGTGAATGAATGAATGAATGAATGAATGAATGAACAATGTTTACCTCTAACAGTTGGGGGAGGAAGACTTGACTTTCCACCTGTCTCTACCATGTAGATTTTTTGGTTACTGCATCATTGTTTTTAAAAAGCAAAACAAAGAACTGAGAAGGAAATCACCCAGGAGGAAGAGGAATTGCAGGCTCCATCCCAAAACTTGCACAGACCAGAGCCCGGAGGGGCCTGTGGGTGGGCAGCTGGAGCCGGGGAAAACCATGGAATCCACCGCACAGGGCTCCAGCTCTGGAAAAGGGGAACTTCTTGCAACATGAAGACGTTAATTAGAGACAACTGAAGACGGAAATTGGTTTTCAAAGCAGCTTCCAGGCTCCTTGCGAATTATTTTAAAATACTTTATCAAAAGGCTTGAGAAAATGTATGCCAAGGGTCCAAAAAACAGACATTCAAAAAAGCCCGATGCGGCTAACTGGCAGGATTAGACATGGACCATGTTCAGCCAACATTCACCGAGCCCTGGCCTGGCAGGGAGCTCAGGAGCCGATGACATGCCGGGGTAATGGGAAGGGAGGTCAAGATGAGGGCCCATCCTCGGTGCAGGTCAGTACACACCAGGGATCAGGTGGGCCTGCGGTTTGACGTCCAAGAACATTTGCTTTGGAGACTGGAGTTCTTGCTGTGGGGCAAGGCTGTATGGCCTCTGGGAGGAAGACTGTGTGGGTCTGGGCTCCCAGCCCTCCCGACCTGGCTGGTTGAAGGCAGCAGATCAGAGGAGACCAAGCAAGCCCTGGTTGGCTTCATGCCAGGCGGCTGACAACTGACCCCTGTCGAGCAAGGTCTTGTGCTGTGGTGGGTCCCGGGACCAAGCTGCCAGGATTGTTCCTGACCCTGTCACACATTAGCTCCCTGAGCTGTTTCCTCATGTGAAAACAGCTGTACCCATCTCATGGATGGTTGTGAGAATGGCATGAACTAACAGGTAACTAACAGGCTTGACGGAGCCTGCCATAGAGCCTGTGCTCAGCAAATGACAGTTGTCACCAGTGCTACTGCTGTGGGGAGGCCCTAGTGACCCCAGCCCAGGCCTCCTGTCCCCAAAGACTAAGCAGATGTAAGAGGCAATGAAGCAGAGGCTAGCAGAACTCAAATATAAATGAGCCACAAGGTAGAGGAAGAGGAAACGTGGTTTCTGCAAACGGTCTTCACGGCCAAGAATTTGCTGACATTCCCTAAGCAGAAGCCAAGGATAAGGCAGAGACCAAGGGACATGTGTCACTCAGATGTTCGGCTGGCTCTGGGGCATTTGCAGTGAATCAGGGCTGGACCAGCAAGGACTGAGGCAGGGGAAGAGGACCCCAATTCCATGCAGACTGGCCAAGAGCATTTGTTTAGGGATGAAAGTCAGCCCTGTTCCTTTGTAACAAACATCCTTACAAACCTCGAAGGGGAGCCACGCAGAGGCCCCACCAGGGCCCAAGCCAAGGGAAGGGTTGGAGTCTGTTCCCACTGGACCCGCTGGAAGATGTGCAAACAAGTACAAGGTAACACATTTGTGTATAGGCCATACAAGCTGTTTCAATAAAAGGAAGCACGTGAGCCCTTGGGGATGTTCTGGGAATGGCCCTGGGGTGCTGTCACAGATGGTTTCTTGGGAACATTGATACCACGAGATGTTTGTCCAAAAGGCTAATAAAACCCTGAGCATCATCAAGGAGGACATAGGGAGAGAAGACAGTGTCCGGCTGGAAATCATGGCATCTCCACTCCTGGGATGCTCCTGCCAGCTCTGGCCTGGGCCAGACACAAGGAGGCTCATCCATTAATTTAAACCTTGGGAGCTCATTTTCCCAGAAGGCAGGACCAAAGGGAAACGTGGAGGGGTCTGCACACACTGATGAGGCCATAGAGGCTCAGTAGGAGAAGGAATGGGAATCACCCACGGTAGGTGTGCAGGGCCCCTGCTGGGCTTGGAAAGCGGACTGGATGGATCCAGAGCCTGACCTGGGTCAGAGCCCATCGTCCCTGCTGAGGGTGGGAATTTGTGTAGGTCAGGACATCCCACGTGACAAAAAGTACTAAGGTTCTGCCTGTGTCCCCATCCAGGAAGCTTCTGTCAAGTATTCCCTGAACGTCCCAGTGTGATGGGTGCCAAGCAGGACACAGGAGCTGAGACTTGGAGGAGGACAGGCTGAGGAAGAGCATGGGGAAGGGTAAAGGAGGAGAAGAGGAAGGGAGAAATCCCCACCAGAGGGACACGGCTGACCCACAAAGAGTGGGGCAGGGGGAAGGGGTAGCAGGCTGGGGCTCGAGTCACCGTCTGCAAATCTAGCAGATGACACTTGGAGTGATGGAAACACTTACAGTTCTCTGCCGTTTCCCGACATCTTAAAGCCACCAAATGGAGCCTGAGCGTAGATGGCATTGTAGCAGTTGATCCTAGAAAAAGAATGCAGGCATGCTCGCTGTCACCTGGAGAAGACCCGCTGGATCTGGGCACTGCAACCGGCAGGGTGCAGAGCTTGCTTGATGAACCGCCTTTGCCAAAGTCTCAGTGATTAAAGCACAGTGTACTCTCAACTGCTGCCTGCTCATCTTTTCCATCAGAAACTAAAATTTGGACATACTGAAGTCAGAGCTTCTCATGGAATAGGAATGGGATAGGAAGGGGAGAAAAGACAGGACGGCACAGGGGAGTGAGAATCCGCTTTGAAATGAGGCAGACCTGAACCCTAAGTTCTGCTTCCCGGTTCTGTGATTCTGGTCTATGGCTCGACCTCTCTAGGCCACAATTCCCTCATCTTAACATGGGACAATAATACAAAACCGCAGAAGTATTGGTGAGGCAGGGACTTGTGTCCATTCTATGCACATGAGCATGTACTGCTTTTAGGATCAGAACCAAAAATAAAGCAAGGAGGGACAATACAGCACAGGACATAGACACATGGGCACCAGAGCCCGCTCTGCCATCTACCAGCTGTGCAACCCTGGGCAAATCACTCAATCTCTCCGTGCCTCAATTTCCTATTCTATAAGATGGAGACATCATGGTGTCCACCTCAGAAGGTGGTCACGGGCACTGAGCAAGGTACTGAGACAGTGCTTGACATATGACTCACAATTAGTAGCCCTCTGTTAACAGTCTATTACCGAGGCTAGCAAGCCAGCGGCTCAGGGGAGCCAAGACACACACACGCTTGACTCACCAGACAGTACCAGACTCTAACGCAGAAGCCAGCTTCAGGGCTTTGTCCAGGTTTTTTGTGAACACGGCAGCTGTGAGTCCATAGTCAGTGTTATTTGCTCTTTTTATTACTTCTTCGATGTTTTTGAACTTTAGTATCGGTTGCACTGGTCCAAAAATCTATGAGTAATTGCAAGAATAGCAGTGAGAGGCAGGTTGAGTGAAAAGGTATGCGCTGGACAGGTATTTCTTCTTTCCTTGCTTTTTTTCATATACCCCTACCCATGCATGAAAAACAATAATTGGAGAAGGACAGATGTCCAAACATTGTCTTAGCTGCATGACTGTTGAAATCTGAAGGCAAGAATTAAAATGAAATAAAATAAAAAATAACAACAAAAAACATACGTTGCATTTAAGAACTCTCATTGTCATCAGGGTTTCTGAGAGCCGCCAGCCCCTAAAATTTGGAATAACCCATCAAGTTGGATGCCCAGAAAACAAAACCTTTGGGTAACTTTTGGAAAGTTATCTGGAAGGATATTTACAGACACATTGTAGGACTGTGTGCCCTGACCTCTTGGTACTATGGTTTCTACCAATGAAGCCACCCTAAAACGTTTCCACAATAACTCTCAGGGGAAGGAATGAGGCAATGTTCACCACAGTCTATCACACAGCAAAGACCAAAAAAAAAAAGGAAGAACTAAGGCTTGAGCATTTAAAGATGATTTTGAGGGGAGCGTGTAATTGACTCAGTATTGGGCACAGTTATAGCCCAGCAGGAGAGGGTCCAGCCTGCCAAGATACCTTCCCAGACCCCTCACAACCTCCTGTCACAGGGGTGTTTAAAGAGTTGAGCTTTGTGCCATCATAGCTGTCAGTAACCCATGAAAATCTCAAGGAGAGCGTCTGTAGGATGTTAGCAGGAGCTCCCAATATCATTCACTCTTCCATGTGCCCCAAAAGACCACAGCCCAAGGTCTAACCACCTGAGACTGGGTTCTCCTTTTATAGATCCCATGTGGAAACGAGCGCTCATCCAGTTTCACAGGGGGATCGAAAGACAAAGTTGGATTTATACTCTTGGCGGGGGGGTCTACTGAATTCTCATTACTTCCAAGGATGCCGGTGATGGAAAATATCAGTGAGCGTTCTAGCTGGGACACAGTCCGTGAACGAATGCTTGTTGAAGTTCCGTCTGGGGGGACTGAAGGCAGCTCTGGGTCCTGAATCCACAGGGCCCTGAATCAATGCCTAGAAAAACCCACAGGTGGCAACAGCTCTCCACCTGGGCCGCATGCCTAACTCGAGAGGAGACTGAGGGACTGCTGCCCCCCAGAAACTATGAGCAGTGAGTGGAAACGGAGGGTTAGAACTCTGTACCTGCTATATAGGTTTGGAGTTTACCCGAGGTAGGGGCAAGACAATATCCTTTAAGGACCTCCCGAAAGACAGGAAAGATAACACAGAAAAGAAAAATGCTCAGGTCACAGATGCCTGGGATCCTAGGGGCCCTAGTGAGGCTCTGTGGGTCATACTGCTTGCTGCAGTCCCCACAAACCTCCTCTTTGGCAATCCGCATGTTGTCGGTAACTTCTGAGAAGACAGTGGGTTTGATGAAGAGCCCCCTGTCTTCCATGGCCGAGCCCCCATATTCCAGCTTGGCTCCTTCCTTCTTCCCACTCTCGATCAGCTCGAGGATTTTGTCAAACTGCTTTTGGTCAATCTGCAAAACAGAAGCAGAAAGCACAGCCCAGCTTCCTTCTGGGCAGTGGCTGCTGTCCATGTTTTTGACAGCCTTCAACACAGTTAGCCGTCCTCCCCCAGCCCCCAGCGTGTTCTTGCCAAGCCATTGTCCCTGTAATTATTATGTTTTGTAGGCAAATATTCCTCTGATGCATGAGCAGGAGAGAGATGGGGAGTCAGGCTAGCCTCATCCTCTTGAGGTTTGGGGTTTCTTCACACATCTGACTTCCCTCTCCATACTGCGAAGCGAGTCCTTGGGTGATATAAGGCCTGAAGTCTCCGCATTCTTTGCTTTCCCAACTCTCTCCATCCTACTCAGGTTGCTGAGTTGAGCAATACAGGATGTCCAGTGAAATGTGAATTTCAGAAAAACAACACATGGTTTTTTTAGTATAAGCCTATCCCAGACAATATTTGGAATATACTTATGCTAAAATGCATGTGCTGTTTATCTGAAACTCAAATCTACCTGGAAGCCTTGTATCACCCACCCTGCACCCTGCCCACTTGGCAACATGGATCAGGGTAACATGACTGGAATTCTCCCTCGTGGTACAGAAAAGTGAGAAGGAAAGCTGACCACTGTCCTCAGCTCCCCTCAAGACAGAATGGAGTGAGTCTCCAGCAGGGCTGGGGTGCTTCTTGGCTGGCAGGGAAGCAGCTCATGAGGCAGGCTCCACTTTTGCTATTCTGTTTAGGAATCCCCATGGCTGGAGTTTGCACCATACCTCCAGCCTGACACCTAACTTGTGGACATAGTTCCAACCAGCTGTCAAAGGGGCACCCTTTTGGGAGACTGGTCTCAGGGGAAAGTGCTCTTTCTGTCCCCACCACCGGCTCTTCTTTCTGAATCGGAGGGATCCCTGTCTTCGTCACGACCTCATTGACTGTCGTCCTCCTCTTTGGCTGGGAGGGACAGAGCTTTACATGGTTCACTGTAGTTGAGACTTTTAGGTAGAAAATCTGGCTTCATTCCAATGATACAAAATAGAAAAATAAGCAGTGCATCTGGATGACTGTCCCTGGGGCACAGGCTGGCTTTCTTATGAGGGAAAAAACCAGGCATGGTGATTGATCAAGTATCTCAGGAAATGTGGATCCAGTTTTAGAATGCTGACTCGGATTCATACCTCCCACCTTATTCCAGCAGAATTCCAAACAGATCAAAGATACAGCTATGAAAAATGAAACCATAAAAGTTTTTAAATTCTCTCATGTGGAAGATTGCCCCTGCAAATCTGGAGCAAGAAAAGATTGATAAATTTGAGTATGGAAAAAATGACAAAATCATTGTAAGCAAAGTCAAAGGGCAAAACAAACTGGGAAAAAAAATAGTGACAAGCCAGATCATAGAAAGCGAATCTCTCTAGCATGTATGCAAAGAGGCTTTAGAAGTGATAGGAAAAATGACCAATAAGATAAAAATATGCAAAGCAATCGAACATTTGACAGAAATACAAATGGCTTTCAAACCCAGGATAAAATGCTCTACTTTATTCATAAGAGGTTTATGCATATGGAAACTCAGTGAGATACCATTTTTAAACTCTCAGATGAACAAAAATTCATATCCCATTAGTAAGGCTAGAGAAACTGACATACTTACACCATGTTGGTAGGCACATACATTGATGTATCCTCTATGGAAGGTAATTCAGCAAGGCTTACAAGTGTGTCCCCACTTGGTCACCCTACTTTGGGGATTCTGGCCCAGGGATTTCCTTGTGTGTGTGCGAAATGACACACTCTGTGGCCTTGTGTGTGACCACACATTCCACATGTTAATCAGATATTACTTAAATTCTGGTGGCTTCATACAGCAGAATTCTACGTACATGTGAAAAAGAATGAGGCAGGTTCCCATGAACTGGTACAGAAAGATCTTCAAGTTTCTTGTTAAGAAACTAATCCCGTGCCTTTGGGAGGCTGAGGTGAGTGGATTGCCTGAGCCCGCGGATTCGAGAC